AATGCCGAGGAGGTCAGTATTTAGCCTTGGGCTCCCCTCTCTGCAGCCCAAGCTGCCGCATAGCCCGGCCAGTGATGACTGACTGAATGCATCTGCCTCCCGTTTGTGGTCAGGGCACTGCCAGTTAGAGTGAGGAGAGATCTAGTCCTGGGTAGTGGAGGAGCTCCTCAGGGTGGGCCTGAAGGCTTTTGTCCACTTGGTGCACAGCGCATGGCTTCTGGGGCAGTTAGCTTACTGACAGTTGGAATATTCGCTTCATTCACTGAGCAAACATGTGTTGAATGTTTATTATGTACCAGGAGCTCTGCAAGGTGGGGCTACATAAAGAGCAAGGGGGAGAGTGACCTGGGGTAAGGCTGGAGAGGTAAGGGCCAAGATCAGGCAGCGTTTTGTAGCGTGAAGGTATCGGGAAGCCACTGACAAGTTTTGAGCTGGGGAGCGGCATGATCCAGTGAGGAATGAATTGGGGAGGAGCAAGGGTAAAAGAGAGCCCAATTAGGGAGCTCTCATAGACCTCCAGGTGAGACCTGTAGCTTGCACCTGGGTGCTGGTAGTGTCGGTGATGGGAAAATGGATGAAAGAGATATTTTGGTGGTTTGGATGTGGGGCTGAGAAAGTGGGAGATGACAGGGATGACTCCCATGTTTCTAGCTTGAGCAACTAGGTGAATGAGTTACTAGTGTCATAGATAATATAGGGCTTTCTGTCCCTTGTGACTGATGGAAGGAGAAGTGCTTTATGTCTCTTGGAGAGAGAGTGATCCCTCAATTTTTTTTTTTATTTTAAGGCTAGGAAGCTGAAGGCCCTCTTGGGATTTCCTGTCTGCCTGGCACTCTGAGGTTATATGTTCTCTGAGTCAGAAACCTCCTTCTCTGTCCTTCTGATCCCTTTCCATCTCTGTCCTATTGATTCTGCCTCCTATATGTGGTTCGGTCCTGTTTTTGTTTCTCCATTCCTAGTGTCTCAGCCTGGTTTGGATCTTCATTGCTTTTCACCCGCATTACTGCAGAAGTGTGTTGCCGGTTTTCCTGCCCTCAGTCTGCTGTTTGCCTTTCTGCTGCCAGAGTCGTCTCTTTCACCTACCCACATGATTGATTACTGTTGGTCTTCCTAAAGGGTCTCTCTGCTTCTGCCCTTTCCACCTACAGAATATTCTCAACAAAGTATCCAGGGTGATCCTTTTAAATCTTAAGTCACTTTGTCTCTCCTCTGTTCAGAATCTGCATCCAGTGGCTTCTTAGCTCATTCAGAGTAAATGCCAAAAAGATGTACAAGGTCCTCCATGATCCGGCCACCTGCTCCCTCTGTGACCTTATCTCTTCTTGCTGTCCCTGTCATTGCCAGGGAGACCCCAGCTCAGAACCTTTGACTGTGCTGTTCCCTCTTCCTTTCCCTTAGATATGCACGCGACCTGCTCCTCAGCCTCATCAGGTCTTTGTTAAATGTCACCTCAGTGGGGCCTTCCTGACCATCCTGTTTAAAATTGCCGCATTAACCCCTTCCTCCAGCATCACCACCCTGGCACTCCCTGTCTTTTCTCTGTTTTTATACTACACGTTGTACTTAACTAATTTTGTTTATTGTTTGTCTCATCTCATTATAATGTAAGTTCTATAGGAGAAAGAATTTTTATCTGTCTTACCGCACTATCCCAAGTGCTTAGAATACTATCCGACGTATAGTAAGCACTCAGTAAATATTTGTTGACTTAATTCTTTATTATAGAATTTACTCTTCTGCCTATAACCCTATACACACCTTTTGCTCTAATCATACTCCACAGTTAGGTGTCCAGACCTAGTACATTCTCTCCCTCCTCTGTGCCTGTGCGCATGCATCTCAGCCTGCCTGGAATGCCCTTTGCTTCCTCGTTAGCTTGGCAGCTCCTACTCATCCTTCTAGACCAGCCCAAGTCTCATCTCTGGACTGTATTCATAACCCCCAGTATGAGGTAGATGTCTCTCACTTTCTCGTTAAGTTTGTGGCACACTTGCATACTTTTTTGTTTCTTGTTAATTTTTTGGGGAAGTGCTTTGATATTCCATTTTATTTATTTAAATACACACGCTCACACACACAATTACAACTCTGTAAGTTAGTGAAATGGCACTCATTGGATGAATTAAATTACAACCAGTAAATGAGTGAACAGCAAAGACAAAGAGTTAAAGAAGATATTTGCAAAACATATAACTAAGAAAGTACATCTATACAATGAATTCTTACAAATCAATCATAAAAATGAAGAAAATCCAATACAAAAAGGGGCAAGGGATTTGAACAGGTGCATCACAAAAGAGAATATCCAAATAGCTAATAAATATATTAAAAAGATGCTTAACATCATTAGTCGTCAGGAAACTGGAAAGTAAAACCACAAGACACCACTCCACACCCACTGAGTTGGCTAAAATTAAACCAGACAAAACAAACATCTTACAGTGACAATACCAAGTGAGAAGAAAGATGTGGAGCAATTGGAGCAACATTTATATTATTCTGGTCCGAGTGTAAATTGGGCCAGCGCTCTGGAAAACTCTATGGAGTTATGTACTAAAGGGGAGTATAGATGTATATTTTTTAGGAACCAGTGATCCCGCTCCTGGGTGTATACCCAACACAGATGCATACTTATGTTGACCAAAAGACATGTACAAGAAAATTCATAGCATAATAGCAAAATAGTCCAAATGCTCATTATAATTGAACGATTATATGGATTGTGGTATATTCCAACAATAAAATCCTAGATGGCTGTGAAAATGAACAAAGTACTGGTAGACACAACAGAATGGATAAACCTACAAATATAACATTGAGTGGAAGAAGCTATACAGGAAACAGTACGTACGGTGTGATTACATCCACAGGAACTTCTTCTTTTTTTTTTTTTTTTAATTTTTCAATTTTATTTATTTTTTTATACAGCAGGTTCTTGTTAGTCATCAGTTTTATGCACATCAGTGTATACATGTCAATCCCAGTCGCCCAATTCAGCACACCACCATCCCCACCCCTCCGCGGCTTTCCGCCCTTGCTGTCCATACGTTTGTTCTCTACATCTGTGTATCAACTTCTGCCCTGCAAACCAGTTCATCTGTACCATTTTTCTAGGTTCCACATATATGCGTTAATATACGATATTTGTTTTTCTCTTTCTGACTTACTTCACTCTGTATGACAGTCTCAACAAATGACTCAATTTCGTTCTTTTTTATGGCTGAGTAATGTTCCTTTGTATATATGTAGCACAACTTTATCCATTCGTCTGTTGATGGGCATTTAGGTTGCTTCCATGACCTGGCTATTGTAAATAGTGCTGCAGTGAACATTGGGGTGCATGTGTCTTTTTGAATTATGGTTTTCTCTGGGTATATGCCCAGTAGTGGGATTGCTGGATCATATGGTAATTCTATTTTCACTTTTTTTTTTTTTTTTTTTGCGGTACG